GCAGTTTTGGAAAAAAATTTAATGGTGAGTTACTTATGGTTTAAATAACTTAACAAATTGCTTAACGATTGAGAAGCGTAGGCAATCAGAAACCACTCTAATGACTATTCGCTGTCTCCCCGACATTGCTACAACCGCTACTTGAAAATTATAAACTACTTCGGAGCAATTTTCTCGATCTACTTAATAACGAATATAATCAACTAAGTTGTAGAATCGATAACACATGACTTTTGAATATTTCATAGTATAGAAACTTTTGTCGGGAGTAATATACGAGAGTAATTCAGATAGTTTTTGACAAGGTTCATCGGTAGGTTTTCGTAATCAAACAAGTAAAAATATTGATTTGCAAACCGAATTATTAAAATTATTATTAAAAAAAAATGCATATTGAAGTGGAAAATTGTGATATATGATGACATTTGATTCTGCCGATAACCGATAAAATTACAATTACTGAGTTATATAACGAGTTTAGTTTAGTTTCAAAAAAGCTTTATTGAAGTTTTAAATATTTAAAAAAAATGTGGTTGATGTGGTGCGTGTTTGCCAGTTTTCGAAAATTACTATCGGTCGGCGGTTTTGAATATCATAAACCAATTTTCGAAATTTGACTATTTTGGGGTTAAAATAATCATTGTCTGATTTCTATATCCATTTGATTTATGATCTAATGATTACTTTTTGTACCATTACATGCATTTTTTTGTTTTACGCGATATCCCACATTAGGACCTTTCGATATACAATAAAATCATTTATTTAAAATCAAACTTATATTGATAGAAATATTAAAAGACCTTTTAAAAACGATTTTGAAGTGGTTAAAAAACTTGGATTATGCTGAGAAAAAATTGCTTTAAACATGACTCCCTTAATAGACCACACATATGTACATGTCGATATTTTTTAAAACATATTTCGAAAAAAACAAATATCTGTTCAACAAACAAAAAGTGAGTGTATTGGTATTTAGTTGCTAAAAACCACTACACTAATTTAAATGGAATAAACAAAAATAAAAATTATTGCTACGGACAGATGCTGTAAACGAAGTAAACGAACATACTGAACAAACAAATGTCTAGAGAAACATAAACAAATAAAAGCGGCAAAAACGCGGCTAATGAAGTAACTTAATTGAAGTTTATTTGTCCAGCATCAGCTCTGAAAGGAGACGAGCGAGACACCGAGCAAAAAGCCATAATGCCTGTGTGCTTTATTAAATAGATATTTGGCTATTTTTGAGACTTTGCAAAAGCGCAGAATAATCACATATTGTAGTTATATATGTATTGTAGGTGCTCGTACATAGAAATATTCAATGGCATCAGCCCGAAAATTCTACATGCAGACATGTTAAGGAAATATGTATGTACGATATATGTACATATGAATATGTATGTGCATATCTGGCGTTTTTAATTGAGCGTGCAGCGAGCTATACTTCACTGTGCCAGCATAAACATCATGTTGATTGACAAGAAAATCGCAAGCAGTATAATTGAATGAGTGTGAGCATGTGTGTATAAGCAGTTGGAGCATTACTCAGTTCATGTGCATTTAAAAATCAAAATGTTGATTAACGTACACAATCCCGAAAATTTTAAAAAATCCCGAAATTTCGGGATTTATAATATCGATTTACATTTAAAAATTAAAATGCTGATTAATGCACACAATTCCAAGAACTTTAGATAAACCCCAAATTTCGGGATTAAAAAATTATTTTCGGGTTTCGGCCTTTAACGAAAGATTTCTTGTAGATTTTCAAGTTAAAAAACAAACATTTGACGAAAAATATTGTTTTAGATACACAATAATCCCCCAAAATTGGGTGTATTCGAAAAAGTTGGCTCTAATGCGGACAAGTTTTTAAAGTAACATATATGCCTAATTTTGAATTACACGCACATATGTATTTACTGGCGTTCTGTTAAATTTTCTTCTTTGCGTATTTAGATTAGTAGATTTATATTGTATACCTATAAGACTAAGGGCCGCTAAATTAAGCTTTAAAAATTTCACATACAAATTTTTTTGTTTATATCAGAGTTTTTGGCCAGAACCAAATTTTGAATGGTCTAAAAGAGGTCTTGAATAAATTTGGTATGAGTTTCGGGATTTCAATAATTCGAATTCGGGATCCCGATATGTCATGTTTTGCTGTCCAAATATTATGTTTTTCCAAAATCTTAACACATGTAGGAACACATAAATTATAACTACATCCAAACATACTCGTATTTATTTGTATATACATACATATGCATATAAAAGTGATTTTCCTAGCACATTTTGTAGCTGAGTAAGCACTGAAATTACGCACAACAGCAGTTGCGGAAAATGTGAGCATGTAATGTTCCGGTAGACCAAAAACTCAAGCAACAAAAAACAATTGCCTCACAGCACATTGGCCCGAGCTATGAGATCATAATCGCGACTAGAAGAATTGTAAGTAGAAAAAAGTGTGCGAAACTAAAAATACCAGCGTTATGCTGAGTTTTGTTTTTTTTTTTTCAACGAAATTTTGCACTCACAGCGATTGGCAGTAATTCTAGTGCAAGTGCAAGTTGTAATTTGTATCTACACACATACTTGAATAATATTAAATATAATATGAATTAGATTCGAGTCCAAGTTCATACGAGTCCAGTGATAACTCATTGTCGCGTTTGTTTATCTTTTACCGTAATTAACGCATCCGTCTTTCGTTTTTTTGATTTAATTTTTCGGCATCTTTTTATGCTTTATTTGCGTCCTCCTTCGATGTTTGCCTCGCTTTTTGTAGTTATAATTAAAATGTATCCGCGCACAAGAATACTCGGTCGCGCGGGATGTCGATGCTTGAGTGCGTTAATGAATAAATTGCTCGAGTGGATGTGCAAACACGTACAAACAAACGCTTATACTTGAATATCTTTAGAAGTATAGCGAAAATCGGTATGCGTTTTAGACGCCCTTAACGTCTGGAACCGATTTTTTGAAGAGTTGGTTCAATTATAACTCGGAAATACTTAAATATTGGAGAAATTCAATTTCTAGAGGAAATTTATTTTTGGAAACTCTTATTTAAAGGATAAGTTTGATGTTTCCCCTGAATTGTAGCACAAGAAGATCCTCAAAATATTGGACGGAGCTTATCTGATCGTTTAAAAACCAAACTATAGTGACTACATTAAGAAATCAGATCTCAGTAGAATCTTTTCGAAAACCAAAGTAACCATATATGGTATACCAATAAGGTCACGGTAAGTGTACCGCAACTAAATTAGTTATTTACTTTTAGTGAGGATGCTACGTCGTTCTATTTAAATGAGCGCTAAGGATGTGGCATGCTGACAAGAGGTATCCAGATGAAAATGAAAATTTTGAAATTTTTCAAAAAGGCTCGGAGACAAATGGCAAATTATCTGTGCGGATCTGATAATAGAAAAACCCCTATGTGATCGTCGAGAAGCCAAGGAATCTGCAAAATGACAGTCTGACAGATATGAGTCGATTTAGTCATGTCCGCATGTCTGCACTATATATGTACGTGAATTGGTCCCGCAGTTTTTGAGATATCGATTTGAAATTTTATTCATGTTCTTTTCTGCCCAAGAAGCTGCTCATTTGTCGGAACCGCCAATATCGGATCACTAAAGCAAATAGCTGTCATACAAACTGATCAATAACAATCTAGTCCTTGTATGAAAAACTTTTTTTTTTTTTAATTATGTAAATATTAGTTAACAGATTGTTTAACAGCTATAATCTTTATATAAAAAAAATGGTATGCTGAAAAAAGAAATCTACACATGATCCCACATCTCAATCTTCCAGCTAATTCGGCAGCTAAAATATTATTTTTGATATTTTTTATATTTTATATTAAAAAAGATGACTGTATAAAAGAAAATCCGCATACAACTGTCTAATTTTATTCATAACGGATTTGCACAAATTGCTGTTGTCATATCCTATGTAATGCTACAACAATTGTGCATATGTTCAAGTTTAAATTTTTGTTTGCTGAATTGAAGTCGTTTCATATTTCATAGAATCGGAACATGCATTTACATAAAAATATAATTATTTCTAGTTTTCAAAAATATATAAAGATATGTTGCAACGCCTAACCTCACTCTACATAGAAATGAGGAGTTTAAAAAGCAAGAAAAATGCATTTATGCTCTGCTTATCATTGCACTTTTTGCTGCACCTCCAATTACAGACAAATTATACTCGTATGTACATGTAAGTGGACACCTTTGCGGTAAACAGTGCGATACAAATTATTTTACACAGAACGTTTACTATTTCAATAAAGTACAATAGACTATTTTCTCAAATTATGTGAACTGCAGTACAATTTCAAAGATTTTTTGTTTTTGAGGCAAGTTGAAAAAAATATTATTTATATAGACGCATACATATGTATGTACATAAAGATATGTAAATATATATGTATGTACATAAAGATATGTAAATATATATGTATGT